ATATACCAAACCAAGATCTAAAACCCATAATTTTTATTAAAATTGTTTCCCGTAGACCGAAACGGAGAGAAAGATATACATTAAACTGATCATCCAAATTACGAATTATATTTCGGGACCGAATCGGAGTGTGAGATGATTGCTTAACTAGCTAGGGTTCGTGCATGAACGAACGTAATGCGACGGCCTACCAGATGGAGTGGATGCTCGACCGGAAGCCTTCAGATTAACAAATCGACCAAAATAGTGAGGATCAGCATCGAATGTGCAGTGGTGAATGCTATGGCTAATATTTCAGATAATATATATTTTCTTTTTTGTACATTAGGGACGCCAGTTTAAAGGCATCATAAATATGATAAATCACATACGATCAGTAAACATATTTAATAATAATAATTTATTAAAATAAATATGTATTCCTACCTATGTAGGATACACCAATTGTACAGACGTGGACAAGTTTTATGTAAATTACTTAAATTTGGTCTTTGGTGAAATTTCATGGTTGGTCGTTCTTGTCTTTAGTTTGTGGGAACAGTCTGCTAACTGGTCATGCAATGGAGCAAACAAAATTTATTGAAATATTGTCTTCGTACTAACAAAAATCTCAAGTATATTTTGGGTTCATTACAAAAACTTAGGAAATAAATAAAGCTTGAAGTCATTTCTCCACACAACTCTGCTGTGTATGAAATCGAATCTTATTCTTGATTTACATTCAAATTGGGTATTAATTTAAATTAATTGATATACTTTATAATCTTGTCAGCATTTTCATCGTAAGTGACACTGGAAGTGAATTGTACTCAATGCAGGCTAATAATAATGATTTGTATTTTCTTATAAACAGATAATAGTAGAGCGTAAATAAAAAGATTATCGTGAGGTAGATAAGCGATATTTCAGAAAGCAGTAAATTCAGAGATCTGGAAGATTAGAACCCGTAGGACAAGGTGACCTGTGAGATGTCTCACGAATTTCTGTACTGACAGTGGGGTAGCATCTCTACGAGAAGCTGAAAAGGCTTATAGATGGTAGGAGCATAAGCATTTTAACATAATATAGGTCCAAACAAGCCTTACTTTTCAGTTTTTGTTAAGGGTCCAGACTAATGTTTAATTCTCGAGCTGTCAAAAAATGCATATTGCTGTCCTACAGATCGGAGCCATTCACATTCCTGACCACTACCATATCAGCTGATCAGCATGCAACACCCTCCGTCTATTCTTGATGTCAAGCTGCAAGACTTTTCTCAACAAAAGTAGTTGTAGCATTGCACTGCTCTGAGCCCGTCCCAATCCTATGGTTTGCTGCACATTAATAGCTTTCATGACAAGTGCTTCCCATTAGGTCACCAGATACATTGATACATTAAGATATTCTTAGCAGTATCGCCTTTATACATGTATACATGTAAATAAATATAAATATAAATAAATTTATTCTCATAGTACAGTACATGAGGGACGCCAG